TGGATTCACCATCCCTGGGGGTTTTCAAGCTGAGACTGGATGTGGCACTTATTGCCATGGTCTAGTGACCACAGTAGGGTTGGACTTGGTGATCTTGGAGGTCTTTTCCAACCCAGTTGATTCTATGATTCTGTAATATTTACCTCTTTCATTTCCCTGGGAATTTGCATTTTCAACCATGTCCTGACATCCTAGTTATCTGAAGAGTTGCAGACTCAGATTCACAATGAATTCTCAAACACCATTTAAACTACACCATTTAAACACAGTCTGCATTAGCACAATCCCATTCCTAAGCAAGCACAAGGCAAAGCAGTTTGATTTGAAAGTCTCTAATCACTGATTATCTGAAGTCATTTTATGCTGTACCTGTTGCACACTGTGTTGCTGAAGGTTACATGGTACAAGGTCATCTGGTCATGAATCTTAACTCAGCTTTCTGTGGCTTTTTTAAACCATTTTATTCTGCTAGAAGAAAACACAAATGCTAAAAGATTGAGGTTGAGGTACTGACATCATTTTCTAAGTGCACCTTTCCAAAGAGCACTGGTGACAACTCCTTAGGCCCTTTGCTGGTTGCCATCTCTGTGTAACCCTTGAGGAACTCTTCTTCAGACAAATGTTTTATCTCAATCTCAAAGCACACAAATTCCCTGTGTCCATTTTCCACCTCCAACTAACTTATTATGGATGCAGCTCATGGAGAACACTCTCCTCCCAGCTGGTTTCTTGCAAAAATTCAGACTGATGCCAGCACAGGTCTGATAACACACATGGCACTTTGACCAACTTATCTTTTGTGGGACAAAGGGGGGAAAGGGGAGAGGGAAAGATATATGCCAATGTATTTGTAAAAGGAAGGAGAGAGATTTTTATGAGAGCAAAGAACAGAAAAGCAAACAAAGAATCGGGAAGTAACAAGCTAAATATATCTTGGAAAGTCAAATCAAAGGCATTTCAGATCACTGCTGTTCAGCAACATGGCAGTTGGACTCACAGTGCTGGTGTTATTCTTAGCAGTTTTTGTTGCTGGATTTATATTGTTGGTCATGGGGGCCATTAATTCCCATTTTTCCAGCTCAGAAATTCCTCCTGGACTGGACCAGCCTGCAAAGCTCCGAATCATTCATATCATGTTAATATGCACAGATGTGGTGGTAAGTGAACCTGGGGTGATTTCTGGGGGAAGAATGGTGAACCTGTAGATTTTAAGCTGAATGCAATGCTGGAAGCCTGCCTGGAATTATTTCCAGAGAGGAGAGCAGGGCATTGCTGCTGTGCTGCATGCTGCATTCAGCTCAGTTTTGCTAAAGAAACTTTTACCAGAGTTTTGACACTGCACTGCATTAGTACAGGCCTGCCCAGACACCAGGCAGTGCTAAATGCTGCTTAACACAAGCATTTGGGAATCTCTCTGTGCTTCTGCTCTAGCTTGTGCTAACCCAGCAGTGATTTGATTAAGAATGTTTATCCATGTGAGATCATTTATATTTCCATTCCAGGTTCAGAACATGTCAGATGTCTTTGGGCCATGCTTTCAATCTTTTCTTGGGCTTGGGGATGAGGAGTTGTGTATTTATCTTGAGGATAAAATTAGAAGCTGAACATTTCAGGATTGGGTTTGGGAAGGGGGAGCTTTTGTCATACAAGGGACAAAATTAGGTTGCTCAAGAGGAGCTGAAGGAATATTGTCTACCCTAAACATAGATGTGTAACTGCTGTAGCAGTTAAGCAGGATTGTCTGAGAGGAATGAGGGGTGAACTGGCCTGTGAAGGTGTGGGAAGGTAACCCGTCCCCAAGAGCGGAAGGTCTCACAGAACTCATCATCTGGTGATCTCTGCTGACAGAGGAGCTCACTGAATCTGAATCACAGGTATTTCCATGTAATGACAGATGTAGATGGACCTTGATGACAAAAGGTGTCAAACATGAGATAGCAGAGGTGGTGTCTGTCTTTAATAAAGTAATTAAACACCTCCAAGAGGGACAAACTCTTAAAATTTTAAAAAGGAAAAGACTTATCTGTCAGAAATATTCCTGATGACAGTGGGTCACAGTATAGAATTCTCAGTGCCATGAGGTGGTGTTAGGTCATAAGTTGGACTTGATGACCTCAGAGGTGTTTTCCAACCTGGCTGATTCTGGGTGATATACAATCTCATGCTTTGGCTGCACAGAACTTGTAATTAGGAAAAGATTACTTCACTGTATGAGGTGGTGTTAGGTCATAGGCTGGACTTGATGACCTCAGAGGTGTTTTCCAACCTGGCTGATTCTGGGTGATATACAATCTCATGCTTTGGCTGCACAGAACTTGTAATTAGGAAAAGATTACTTCACTGAGGCAGCTGGAAAAGCCAGTTCCCTTTTTATCATCAATCCACTGCCCACTGACACCACAGACCAGCACTGTGCACTGCAATGTGAACAACGTGGGGGAAAGACAACAAAGTTGAACGTAAAAGTGAAAATATTCTTTGTGTGGTTCTATTTCTGCTTGGAAAAATAGCAAATACAAAGGAAAATGACTTTTTTTTTCATGTTTAGATATAATCAGAGACACTAAGATTGATTTCTGTAATGAACTAAAATCAGTATGTTGCAAAATGTCTTGTTCAGCCTGAAGATCAGGCACAGACAGCATCACAAACAGCTAGAGTCAGTGAAGAAGAGGCCTTTCAGAGGTAAATGCACTGAGAGTTGTGACACTGTACTGGCAATCCATGCAAACATGGCCATTCAATGAGAAATATTCAGAACAGAATATGGAATACTATGAACTTGATCCAAATCTTCATGAGGAGCAAAGTGCTGCTTTGGTATGGCTAAATGATGCATTTCAAAACACAGGTTATGCCTTTTGCTTTTATTTCTGCAAAGCTATGTTGGAGCACTAGCTTGGATTTGTATCCTTTTCATCTCCCAGTGCCTGGCACCAATATCCCTACAGATACCAGAACAAACAGAAGGTCATTCCTACCAAATATCTCACAATCTTCTTGTCAGTGAGACTTCCAAGATGAATCAAAAAGCAATTATCAAATGTGTCAACTTAGTCAACTCTGCTCTGGACAAGTGTCTCTACCATGAAAATCAGCACCGCAATGATCACCTTTCGCTATGTTTTCACATCCTCTGGGGGACAAGGATAGAATAACCAGTGAAAACCAAACGTGCTTTCAATGTTAGGTAAAGGACCTGCTGAGGAAGCAGAGGAATGTATTTCACCAGTGTGTTAATGCTGCATTGTTTGGGGTTATGCTCTCTGGTGAACACTGTTCACGTAACCTCTTGTGATGCTGCTGTTACTCATTTGTTTGCCCTATACATGTTCAACACTATTACTGCCCTAAAATAGAGGACTTAGACACTATGACTCTACTGTCCACACAGTTCCTTTACTTTGGAAAACACAGAATCTCTTGAGTGAACTCTGTCATCTTTGCCTTTGAACAGGGAAAGATTTTGAACAACATTGGCATCTGCACTGAGATGAGCTTTGCCCGGTACTTGCAAGACAGAAAGACACAGGGAGTGGACCCGAAGCTCATCATCAAGGACTTGTGGTTTGAGAAAGTGCCTGTAAGGATTTACCAACCCAAACCTCCAAGTGCCAGCCAGAGGAGGGGAGTTATGTTTTTCCATGGAGGAGGATGGGTATTGGGAAGTCTTGGTAAGATATTTAACAGAAAAACCTACAGCAATTTAGTTAAGAACTACATACTTCATAAATAGCAAAGTTGGTTGTTGCTTGATCTGTAGCAGTTACAAACTTTGAGTACAACCTCAGGTTCAGTCTCCTAATTCTTGCTGCCAGAAGAAAGTATCTGCTGTGCATCATGCCCTTTATATTAGAGACAAAGACAATGAGCTATGAGGGGAAAACCCACTGAAATAGGAAGACAAGGGGGCACAAAAGATCTGAGGGGCTGTGTAAGAAGGGGCAGGGAAAAGTAAGACTGTTTTTTTCTTGCAGTTCTCAGAGTTATGCAATAGAGTGTATGTATGAGTATTGTGAAGAAAAAACCACCCCAAATCCAGCCCCAAACCCACTGAATCTGTTTGTTTCAGAGACCCATGACAATCTGTGCCGCTTCATCGCCAGGGAAAGCGAATCTGTGGTTGTGTCTGTGGGGTGAGTCTTTGCTCATGCTGGTTTTGAGAGGTTATTTCCTCACCTTCTGGCTTCCCCAGCCATAGCAACAACCTTTCCCAGAGCAATGTGCCTGTGGGGTTTGTTACGTGTGTGCTTTACAAATTCCCTCTTGTTTGGAGCCACTGAAGGGTGACCTGGGTTGTTTTTACTCTCTGACTATATCACAGGTAATGCTTTGGGATATCTAGCTGGAAAATGAAGTTTTGAATCAGTGGTTTCAAATTCCAGACTCAAAGTTGTTTGTAAACAGATAGCAAGCCATATGATTTACTTAATCCTTATTCAAGGATGCTCTGCTTGATGCTTACAGGACACAATGTGAATGACAAGACAAGTCATCAGCAAAATGGCAACATAATGAGTGGGATTATGAGGACATAGTTACGTAACTTTGCGTAATAAAGATATAAATTAGAAGTATTGACAATTGTATCCAACCCATGGAAAGCTAAAGCAGAAAAGAGCTGTCAAGACCTGGGTCTAGTTGGCAGCTGAGTACTCAAAGACCTGAGAAACATCCTAAACAACATCATCTACACCACCTAGTCCAATTAGCCACAGTTTACTGACAAGTTGTGTGTGAAGAAAGGGAGAACTGGGAGGTGATCACAGCTCCTGGCTGCAGGAAGCAGGATTTTCAGCAATACATTTAAAAACAGAATTTCCTTCTGTCCCTCTGGTTGTCCCTCTCTGTGTCCCAGGTACCGTTTAGCCCCTGAACACAAGTACCCTGCGGCGTACGAAGACTGCCTGAACACCACCGAGCACTTCCTGAGCAACACCGAGCACTTCGGGGTGGATCCTGCCCGAGTCATCGTCTGTGGGGACAGTGCTGGGGGCAATCTAGCAGCTGCTGTTAGCCAGACCCTTGCAGGCAGGTCAGACCTCCCCAGACTCCGTGCTCAGATCCTGATCTACCCAGTCCTTCAGGCACTGGACTTCAATTTACCATCCTATCAGCAGAATCAGAGAGTCCCTCTCTTATTCCGAAAAGATGCTGCTTTCTATGTGCTACAGTATCTAAATGGGAATGCAATAAACATGGAAGATCTCTTGGCAGGTTCTCATATCCCTGTAGATATTAAATTAAATTATAGTAAGTGGTTGAGTCCAGATAACATCCCAGAGAAATTTAAGGGCAGAGGCTACAAACCACATGTGCTACTCAACTGTACAACTGAAGTTTTTGAGAAAACAAAGAGATTCTGTGAGCCCACCCTGTGCCCACTGCTGGCTGAAGACAAAATTATTCAGCAGCTGCCTGAGGCTTTCATCCTGACCTGTGAGTACGACGTGCTGCGGGACGATGGGTTGCTGTACAAGAAGAGATTGGAGGACAATGGTGTTCGAGTGACCTGGTACCACCTCGAGGATGGATTCCATGGGATCGTAAGCCTGTTTGAGTTTTGTGGTTTGTCATTTCCATCTGGAAAAAGGGCTCTTGACAATATTGCAAACTTCCTAAAAAGCTTATAGCAACCTTTCTCTTTGTTTCTGTAAGAAGTGCCAACTTCCTGTGGTCTTTTATGCTTCAGAATTCCAGGTAAGAGGTCAACAGGACCATTTGTTAATGAGCAATCCTGTCACTCTGACCACTGCAGAAGGCATTTCAAGAACACTATGGAAGTTTCTTTTAATATTGTTGGAGGTATTCCATGTACAGGCTGCCTACGTCAATGATCTGTTTGGACTAGATGCTACTCTCACAGTTAAATAAAAGATTCACTAATATTTTAAGTCAACATCTAGTCTGACCTATTTTATTCAATTATAATTGGTGGTTTTATTCTTTCTAGAATGGTGTGTTTTAGCAAAGGAGAAAGACAACACCACCACAGTGCTTTAAGGCACTGTCTGTGCTCTGTATCCCATGTAGCACCTGAGTCACCACTCTGCAGAAGATGTCCATGGGTTGGGTGTTTTAGATCCCAAATCCTGTTTTTTTAGACCCAAAAAATGAATTACAACTGCAACTGTCCCCAGCAGAGAGACTCTATTGACAGCTCCATTTAAACTACAAGGGATGAAATGCTTAAAATGTTTTTCTATGTTTCTCAAACATATGAGTATGCTGAAAACCTTGTGCTTAAATAGAATGATAGAATGGTTTGGGTTGAAAGGAACCTTAAAGCTCATCACTTTCCACCCCCTGCCATGGGCAGGGACACCTTCCACTAGCCCAGGTTGCTGCCAGCCCCAAATACTCTAACAACAAAGTGACTGATGCATTTACTTTTGCAGAGCACATTACTTAGCTTCCCCCAGCTCATGTTAGCTCCCACTTTCTTTGCCAAATGTCCTTGTTAGAACTATATATTCCAAACTACTTATATCATGTTCACAGTGCAGGTAGCACCATGTCCTGGCTCCAGGTCAGCTGCAAGAGACAATTCAACCTTCACGTTAACTGTCTCTCCTTGTAAATACCCACCATAAGCTAGAACTTCATTCAAGGCACAACTGCTATCTCTGAACAGCTACTGGTATCACCCACAATCCAATAATTCCACATGGAATATAAGGCCCTTTATCAGTGCTGCAATTAGCATAAAGCTAAACAGGAAATTGAACACGTTGTCGTCTGACTCCTCTCCAACATGACGACTGCTGGCACATTGCACAGCACTGCCAAGGACTTTAAAGTGTGTGACAACTGAGAGATCTCTCACAACTGGGACTGTTGGAGGGTTTTCTCTTACCTGAGAAAACTCAGTCAGAGACAGGCGTGAAGACACATCACCTTTGGATACGAGAAATGGAATTTTTTTACCTACTGCCAGTGATACTGCTGGTGATTTTTGTTGCTTCATTCATATTAGTGATCATAAGAACGATTCAAACTGACTATGCCAATTGCAACATTCCTCCTGGAGTGAATCATCCTGGAAAGCTCCGACTTCTTGTCGCTTTTATGATTGTTATATCTGCTCTGGTGAGTTACTCTGCCATGATTTCAGCAAAAAAATGGGGGTCAGGTGTTATTTTTGTAAGGTTCTATGTGTAAATACCAGAATCCTGCTGGCTGCATCAAGGCTTAAACGATGGCTTTGGTTTTTGGGGGGCTAACTTGAGAGGGCAATTTTTGTAACATCATTTCTCTTAGAGCTCAGATAGAGTTTCAGTCCGATTTTCCTTATTACGTAGGGATTAAATCAACCAGAAGAGCCCAAGCTTTATCAGCTGAGCTTTCCTAATTAAATCTAAATTAAATATTTATAAAAAGTGAGGTTGCTTTGATTTCCACTTTAGCTAAGCACAGGGGATGTTTTTAGGCCATCCTTGGGGCTCTCCAGTAACATTGATGGAAAGCTGAGTGCTTTTTAAGGACATAAAACCAGAGACTCCCAGGAAAACTTAGAGGGACAACAAACACCTGGGCTGTAAGGCTGGGATGAAGCTGTCGGACGAGGTGAGGCAGAGATGGAAACTCCCTCTCCCTCCCCTGAGACATTTTGCCTGACAGAGTGAGTGGGATGTGAGTGTCTACGTACTCAGGGACACGGTGCCAGTACAGCCCACGGTGCCAAGCTCGCCCAGCATGGATTCACAGGGAACTGCCATGGCTCCACCTTCTCCAGTGCCTTCCTACTGCTGGGGACCAGTCAACACAGTGCCCTGGTGCCCCCTCAGCCCTCTCCGTGCCTGGGGGTGATGAGAGGTCTCACTCACAGCAGCCTCCTGTGGTGGCTGCTCCACTCAGCCCAGCTCTCCCTCTTCCAACAGGCCAGGATTTTTGAGAAGATGGGGCTGTGTGGCCACCTGGCCTTCACCCGCTTCATGCACTCCAGGAAGCCAGCAGGGACAGCCCTGAGGGTGCAGCAGAAGGACATGCAACTTGGCCAAGTGCCCGTGCGGGTGTACCAGCCCCTCGTGCCACGTCCCAGCCTGTGCCCAGCCATCATCTTCTTCCACGGCGGTGGCTGGTGGAGCTGCAGCATCGGTATG